GTGGCGTGGCGTGGAGGAGTAACGATCATTTTTCAGTCCGGCCGAGCAAGTGGCGGCAGCAAGCACACCGGGCTCGGGAGGGAGGCGGCCGGAGGCCGAGGCCGGGGGCGGCGCGAGGAACAAGAGAAATTAACCTACAAGATGGCAGCGCAGGAGGAGTCGGGATGGAGTCGGGGGGGGGGCGAAGGAGTGGGGCACGTCGACGCAGACATGCGGAGCAGGTCCCGGCTCCACACTGGGCCATTGGGCTGTGCATGTGCACCACGACGTATGAGGCAACAGAACGCTTAGCGCCTGCAAACACCTGGGTAGGCATACCCGCCGAGCAGGTCTGCTGAGACGGCGGCCCACCCTGGCGGCGCCCAGGGGCTAGAGCCGAAGGAGCTCGGCGGCGCGCGGCGCGGGAGCCCCCGGCAGGTACGCGGTGAGGCCCCCCGAGCGCATGCAGCGATGTGCGGCGGGCGGGCGGGCCTCAAGGCGTGCCGGCCTGGCCCGGGCCCCGGGCGCCTGGCCTCCTCGTGAGTGCTGGGGACGCACCGGGCCGGCAGCGGCTTACAATGTCAGCTTGCCAAAGTTTATTAATTATAATTACTCTCCCGGCCCGACTGTACCCGCGCTGCAGGAGCGGGCGGCCCAGGTGAGGCGGCGCCAGAGATAAGCTCGTCGCCTGCAACAGCCGCCCCATCAGCGCCCTCGCTGCTGTGCGCACTTTGCGTGTCTCAGCGGCACGATCATCATCCCCCCGCCTCCCTGCAATTTAGCAGGCCAAGCATTAGATTGGAATTCAGATAGTATTATAGCATGTACAAGAACAGGCAAGTACACGGTCGTGTTGGTGGTGTCGTTTTCATAAACTCCCCCAAAAAGGTGTACAAGCAATACCAAAAAGAGTAAATGTATTTTCTCGTCAGTATGCCGTGTGCAACAGAACTGTCCATACGCGCTACCTGCGACCTGCGACCAATCTAATAGACCCAATTTTGATAATATATCAGAGGATTCCCTTTCTCAGCCATTTCTCTACAATTTATTTACCTATCTACACTGTAAAAAATCAGGAGTAATTTTGTCTCAAAATGGGAGAGTAATTTTTGTCTCCCACTCGGTAATCCCAATTTACCCTAATAATGGGTTGGTAAAAAGTAATTTATCTCCCACACAACTACATTTATCTAAGAATGGTGAGACAAAATCAGCATTTGGGCAGGTAATTACGTGTTACACCCCCAAAGAGTAAATTTCGCCTAATGTTTGTTGGTAAAATTACCTCTCCTGGATGAAAAATATGTTTTTCACACCCACGAGGGTAAAATTACGCCTAGAAGTCACGGAGCACTCCGGAGGAAAGACACTAAGAGCCAGCGTGTCTCTGGCCAGGTAGGCGCGGTAGCGGCGTGGTTAAAGGCGCAGATTCGTAATCGGAATGTCCGAGGTTCAACTCTCAGTAGGGTGCCACACTTTTTTCATACAGTTCAGCTTCACACCCAAGGTGGAGATCATTCTGTTTTAACCTCGTGGGTAAATAAATACACTCTACCATGAGATCAAAAATTTCACCCCGTGGGTTGGGAATTTTACCCACCCATGTATGTAGTAAAATTACTCTTCCAAGGGTCGATAAAAATAATCACCCGATTTTCTTGAGTGAGCGTTTCGTCACCCAAAAGGGTAAAATTACTCCCAAAATTTTTTACAGTGTAGCAAACAACTAAAACTCATGCTGTGTGTCCATAAGAGATTTGTGGAGCGAGCGGGGCTAGAACTTCCACTGTCTTGCAAACTTTTCAATTAGAGTGGGTATTGAGAGTCCTCTGAATGAGGCTTGGCGACATTAGGCCTTGATGTTTGTCCCACTTTACTGTTGAAATTGTATTTCCATCCTTATATTACTTTTCTGCTCTCTCCAGAGCCATATACCAACCTCTTTCGACTTATTCGCTGTTAAAAGAAAATAAATTATCTGCCGCCAGCGAGCATTTGGCATCCAGCTTTGTCCACAAGACAGGCCTCCACGCCTCCGAGAAGCATTATCGGCTCTACGCTCCGAGTTTAGCGCACCTTGACCGCTCAAAAGAAATTTGTATCTCAAGGTCAACCGCGCGGCACAGACCACCTTATCCGGTGTTGATATCACTATCTCGCGCGTGCGCACATTTGCAGGACGAAATTTTTTAAATGAATTTTATTTCGTGTTCTCAAAATTCCTGGTTTGACAACCGAATAAAAAGTTCTATTAAGGACTTCATACTAGCGCTTAAGCTGCCCAGAAACATTAATACCACTCTGTATGCATTGTGGCTATGACCAAAGCATAATTCTGCATGCATTGTGGTAGCATACGAGTATTTGCTCGTTTTCCCCAACTCGAAGTTGATTTATGGTGTTGGTGAATAACGAGTAAAAACTGCGGTTGCGGTTGCCCGAGCGGCATATGCTTTTCGGACCATCGAGAAAGAACGCCCTTAACTTGCTGTTACAAAACTGCCAAAGCA